AGAAAAAAAAAAAGCATAAACGTAAGCTCAGCCACAGCATCCCAGTAGAGGCACAGCCAGCTAACAGCAGTCAAGCTGTGTCCTTATGAGTGATCATGTTAACTAATGCTCCAACAAACACAACTGGCCTGACCCTGCTTTATCCCTTAGTAACTTGATGATCTACACATGATGTACGAGGCACTGAAGGAGCCCATCAAATTTATTTTATTACCATCTAACAACTTTAACAAATAATCACTCCGGCAAAACACAAAGAAGCATGAATGAATTTCCAGGGCTCTAAAACTCCCTAATCTTGAAGACATTCAAACTGAGCTTTCTACCTCTGAGACATAAATGCTTCTGTATTAATCAGGAACTTGGGCTTTTGTTTGCATGGATGCCACTTGTGGGCCTCACCAACGTTTCTGTTGTGTTGCGGTTTGACCCAGCTCAAGGGGAGTGGTCACCCATCCCTCTGCTTTCAGCCTTCGCTCTAAAGATACCACCAACAGCAAAACACCTTCTCAGGGCTTTTAATTATACAGCACACACAAAAATATACCCGTGCCTGCTGGTCCTTTCTGCACACTGAGCTGTACACATCCACAGTCCATCGGGTCCAGACATACCGAGCAGGGCCAAGGGTAGGCTTGCTGGGGCCACGCTCTAAACTGTGGGGCTGTCAAAGGTCTAGGGATGGCTAAAGTGGTTATCTTTCTAGGTATGATGGTCTGATTTCTTTTCTAGGATTCTTTCAATCTTGTATGGTGTGAGCACACAGAATCTGGAGAGAGTTGGAAAGGCACCCCCTTCTTGTAAGCTGCCTGGAAGAAGGTGCTTTAGTGCGTTTCAGGGTTTTGGTTTGGGTGTAAACTCAAATGCTACCATCAGTCAGTGAATTTTCTCAGCCTTTTGAAAACTTTTCCTACAGATCTCCCAGTGAGTTTAGCTCTGAATGTTCAAAAATTTGCTTAGGGAGGGATGTAATGGGAGAACTAACTTTCCATGCAGCTCACAGCATATCCTAAGGAGTATAAACTATATAAACTGCCTGGGAAAATAGGTTGAAATGCATCCCTGGATTTGACTGTGCTCCCTGTTTTTCTCTCAGTAAGAATGCATCCTATTCAGCCGCCAGCTTCAACATCCACGCAGATGCATGCCTGCTCCTTCAAGGATGAGTCACCCAGACATCATCTGACCTGCTTAAAATTCCCTTAGCTACTGTGTGGTTTTGTGATTTCCATCTGAGATTACTGTAAACTTGAGGAACCCACAAAAATTAAGAAAATTGTAGAAGAAGATAACTTTTCATCATGAATACACAAGGCAAACTTTTGTTATACAGGGAATGGGAAGAGGGCTGGGGATGACATTTAGCATTTCACTTTCTTGCTTTCTCCATGTAGTTGGTCTACAAGACCAGAGGAAAGGCTTAATGAGAGGTGTAGTTAGGATTTTGGTATTCAGACATTTGATGGACCTCATAAATGCAGGGCTTTGGTATGCAATGAGTCTGCCTGTTCAGGTAGTTTATTATTTTACTAGTGCTCATACTTCAGCTTTGCAATACTAGCCTGAACATATGGCCAAATAGAATAACAATTAAATATATAAGACTAGCAGGTCAAATAGAGTTCCATATGTCCTGTCCCACCAACAGAGAGCAGCTAGGACTGTTTAAGAGTATTACAGGATATGACAAGACACTTTCTCTGGAAGCTTTCGTTTCATCTTCAAGGGCTTAAAAATAAGTTTTGGTGAATACAGAGAACACTTACTGCATATGGTTGGATTTGATAAGCTGGCTGGGAGGAGAGAAGGGTGTTAAATAGAGGCAATTCTGCTGCACTGCCCTTTATGTGGAGGGGTTTTTTTTATGTACCCTTTTTATGAGAGTCCAAAACACCATATTTATTTCAATGCATGGATTCAACTACTGTTTTTAATTTACATTTTTTTTTCCATTCAATAAATTCAGACAGTCTGTATTGTGCTGTAATATGCCCTGATCATGAATTGAAGAGCTGTGTGACTGTGGAGGAAGAGAGCCTCTCTCACAGTCAGTCTGTTTGAAGTGATCCTGGGTTGGAAATCCAGACGTCAGAATTAGCACACTGTGATGACTATGCGGGTACACATTGTCACCAAAATGAAAATTGTATGTTCTTCTGTGTGCTGATAAGCACAAGGTTCCTCTCAGTGGAGAGTGGGTGGCACAGTGAAGCAGGCAGTCTTCAGGCCAGTGTCACAACTGTGCTGCCCAGGCCATGGTGCCCATCGCATGCCCTCACTGACCCTTGGAGCACACAGTTTCCCCCAAAGTGAAGGCAGCTGTAGCAGCCCAAGGCTGCCCCATGAGGTGCATGCACCAAGCACGGGCAGTGGGGGCAACTGGGAAGTGTGCCTCAAAAGCACGGTCCTGGTGGGAAGAAACGGGGACCCCCTGCAACACTTGGAGGTGGCAATGATTTGCCTGAATTGTTGAATAGCAAGGCAAGAACCAGTTCTGTAGGGGTGAAATCAAATGTGGTCATGGTTACAATTGAGCAGAAGGAACTACCACCCCACTTTTAAGCTGTGGAGGAATGCCTCGTGCATCCACCAGAGACTGGGAATAGCAGGTAAGGAAACTCTCCTCACACCTACTTCTTTTAAAAGTCAAAAACCACTGCCAGTTTGCTCTGCAATGCAGAGTGCAGTTCTCAGTGCACCAGCATTAGGTTAGTTGTCTTTCTTGAGCTCTCAGATGAGTCCTAATTTTTCCTGATGACATCCCAATAGATTGCTAATACATAGACACACCACACACATCCCAAGGACAGCCCTGAAAGAACAAGAAAAGGAGGGGAGCAAAGCACAGCCCTTGCAGGAGGCTGTCCCAGCACAGGGGTGCCCAGAGCCAGCAGCCACCCAGGACTGCTCAGGGGCTGCTCAGGGCTTCAGGGGCACTGTGTCTGTCCCTGTCCCACGTGTGCCCTGGAGCAGGAAAAGGAAGGAGGGTTTAGTTGTTCAGTCTTCTACCAAGGCCTCTTGCTACAGCCTGTAACTTCCCAAGTGATTTTGTGCCACATGATTATTCCTGTGAAGCCAGAGCCTGCTTATTTGGGTTTTGTTAGTGTTTTGCAGCTTGGCCCCCACCTTAGCATCTGAAAAGGTTTGCCAGCAGTTCCACCTCCAGCTTTTTCCTGCTCTTCTGAACTCAGTTGTGATAAGTATTGCTCAAAAAATGTGGGCTGTATTTCAAAAGGATCAGTATCATCTGCTCCCAAGTCCCTGTGCTTTCTCATCATACTTAGCTAGGAAACAAATGATTGTGATGAAAAGAGAGGATCTGGTGATCTGCCAGTATTTCTGACAACTAGAACAGCAATATAAAGCCACAAACCCACAAAGGCTTCTACAGGGCACACTGTGAAAGATTTGCTACAAACCAACCACAGTCCTGTAATGATCTGTCTAAATAATTACCCGATCATTGTTTAACACCTTTGTATCAAACGATTAGTTCAAGAAGGCAATTTTTTTAAAAGATAAAATCAATATTTTTCTGTGTAGTTTCTGCTAATCCTGTGCCTCTAACCATGCTGGGACTACCCTGAGTAAACTAGTACCTTTAAACTTCATGTTACTACTACACTAACCTTTCATCTGTCCTTAACAATATTTGTGGTTTGGTTTTTTTTAAGTAGCTGGGACTGAACTGAGTTGGAAAGGAAAGGTGTGGAGGGCCAGTCCACAGAAGTTCCATCAAAATGGATGTGAACAGGGTTTAAAAAATAGGTGGGTTTTTTTTTTGATGCCTGGCCCTGACCATATGCTGAAGGAAGGGAGGGAGGTTACCTGGGCTCAAGAGGCTTCCATCATGCCACTGGTCAAACTGTATTATAAACAGCTTCCAGTCCAAACAGAATTCAATCAATCATACTACTTCTACTTTTGTTATGAAGTTAAAAGCCTGGGGTAGACAGGGTTAACTTTCAACAAATCCAGAGAATTGTTTGGATATAGCTACTGCATCAAAAAAGGTATGTATCTGAGAAGATAAGGAGAATGGATTTAGTATCATTTCATTCAGCACATGAAGACATAACTTAGAGCACACCTCAGAGAAAGGAACATTGGTTTTACTTACTCTGCTTTTTGATGAGCACTCAGATCACCTCGGTGGTTTTTGCAAACTTTATCTCCTAATGCACCTGCCCCTGACAGCCATCATTCTGTTAGACAATTACATACAAGGATCAAACTGAATCCATACTAAAAAATAGCTTGAAGTGCTATTTTTACTTGGACCAAGAGTGAACTGGAACCATTATTCTGAAGTGTTTATGGAGCCTAGGCTAGGCTTGATTTTTTATTTTTTTAAGCCTTTCAGCTCCCTAGATAAAACCAAACTGGAAATTCATATAAACAAACTAAAAGATGGACTATGTCAGTGAGATTCTACACAAACAGGAAATATTTGTGTTTATGTCAAAGTTTGCTGTCACTTACGTTTTACCAGAATGTCAAGGCTGAAAATGGTGTCTTAGAAATCCTAGAGCTGTAATTCTGGGTGAGGAATTTCATGCTGAGCAAAGCAAGCAAGGCAACACATTTAAAACCCCAACATATTAATAGTCCATTTATTTAAACAAAAGACATCTACCATATGGAGGTTACAAGAAAGAATAAAACAAAATGGATGAATATTAATCATAAGTAACAGATCTTTGCAGAGACATACTATTGCTGAAAAAAGGATCAGGCCTTTATACCTGTTAACATATCTCCTACAAGGCAAATGAAGACATAAACCATAACATCTCTCCATCTCACATGATCTCTGTCTCTCTCACACACACACAAGTTACAGGAAATTACGTCAAGTCACTGGGCACAAACCCAACTCGGAAATTACGTCAAGTCACTGGGCACAAACCCAACTCCAGGGTATGCAATGGCTCACACGCTGACATGGTCTTATGAGCCTTGGCAATGTGAGAATTGGGATCGAGCTCTGTGCCTATAGACTACCAGCCCTGGTAGATGGGGGAGCTCCTGGTTAATCTTTCATCACTGCTAGTGTTACCTTCCGACAGCATGCTGATAGCATCATCCGTCTGCTGGCTGTCAGTTGTCGTTATCTTCTTGGACTCATGGCCGCTGCTTTGGTAGTTCACTGGTGAGGGATAAGCATTTTCACCCACAGTTGATGAGGACATGGACTCCCAGGCTATTTCTCGTTTTCGCCACGCCAGGTCCACTCTCCATCCCGTCCAGCCATAGAAGGCTAACGTTAAGAGGAAGCCTTGCATCGGGTTAAGGACTCCCTGGGAAGGAGAAGCGGAACAGGATTTACACCAGCAAAGCTCCATTTTCAACTCTAGCAAAGCACCTTGCACACGTTCACCACTTCCATTCCACCGAGTGACTGCTGTCTTTAAAATGTTCTATTTGCATGCAGATAAAAATGTGTGTTGTTCCCACTGCAGACACAAACAAATTGGAGTGAAAGACCACCACCTGTTGTTCAATACGCTGAGGCCCTCCCAGTAAATAGTAAGCATCAAGTGGTTTTCTAGCATGAATTTTAGCTGGCCAGTCCCATGTTGTGTTTTTAACTTTCACCACAAGCAAAAGACCTTTTTATTCACAAAAGCAAATGTATTTTTCAGTAGAATCCAAGTCAAATATATGAGAGTAGACATCAGCCCATACAGTCAAGGATTTTTTTTCTTTAAAAAGTAACAGAATTGATCTGTCTGAGATTGCTGCAGATTCCTGAGACAGTGAAAATGTCCTTCAAAGTGGGATGGAAAAACGAGGAGAGACACTAAAAAATAAAATCCCAAGTGATTTCAGAAAAAAAAATTGCTTCTGTTCCTAGTGCTGTGGGTTGCTTGGCAAGTAAATGGCTTTAGCTGTTTCCATTTTTTTCATGAGAAAAGAGCAAAGTATTTTCACAGCCAACTTAAAAAACAGCTCGGTTCCTAGACCTGACCTCTTTTTCTCCAGGTCTCTTGCAAGAGCGAGGTCCCCGACACATGAATGTGTGCACTCCTTGTCAGAGGAGGAGGGTGGATCAAATTGGTTGCCTTGCCTAATCCTTCAAAACAAAACCGCTCAAGGGCTTAACTACACAAAGCATGCTCAGACCTTACAGATATTTAACAGCTCCAGATTAAACTCTCCTGGAAAAGGAACATACCACCTCTGAACCACCCGCCTCACACCCCCCACACCCTGTCAAAAATTTCAGTAGGAGAAAAGGGGGTAAGGTACGGTAAGAAGCCAGCATCTTACAGCTTTTTTTTGGTGCATTGCTTTCAAGACTTTTCATGTATCTGTCCCAGAGTAATTCACCAAATGTCATTAAATAAGATGCCATTATTGTTTATAACAAAGAAAACCCTAGTTGCTAACAAAATTACCAGAAAATGCCTATTTTACTGGGGAAGATTTTTTAGGATCATGACCTAAAACGCGGAAGCTTGCACTATAGCAGAGGTTAGCAAGGCTAGGCTGGAAATCATTGTAGGGGTCTGTTGTAGGCCATCTTAAAATGGGTAACAACCACTCACAGATAGAATGGATACTCCAGTAAATGGAAGAAAAAGTTGGCCTTTGGTACATTTTTGGCAAAGTTTATGTATGAAAAGCACTCCCAGTGACTGCTCCTTCGTCCCTCTTACTCTCTGATTTTCTTCCATGATTTTCAGAGTGTTTATATCCCTCAAATCCACAAACTACCTACTACACTCGTGCTGTTCCACCCATTTTATAAATGAGATTTGCAAGAATAAGCAATGTCATGTCTGACCTACCATTATAATCCATGTGATCAGTGCAGTACTTCTGATGTTTTTCAGGGGCATTTCATTGATATCTGGCTGCATTTCAAGATAGAACAAAAGGATCTCGTTGATGATATTGGATGACCAGCTATTGCAGGAGTAAAGAAGAGCAAGACAGTTTTTTATATATGTATATGTATGTACGTACAGGTAAAATATGCTTTCCCTTCAGATTATAGAAATAAGGATTACTAATAAGAGGAGTGATTTTTTTTTTTTATGTTAGGTCTTAGTCTGAAGGGAGCAGTAGGTCTCTGAGATTATGATCAAAACCCAGACACTTCCTTACTAGCCCAGGTCTAGACAAAGAAATCACTATAACAACAACAACAAAACAGAACAACAACAACAAGATAAACTAACCACACCCTGATCATTCAGAGCTGACTGCAGAACAGCAAATTGCAAGACGAAATTGAAATGATAAGCAACTGTGATCCATAGTGGAAGCATCATGCATGCTGAGTTCTTTTGCTTGTGTCTTAAAAGCATAGTGGTCACAGATAAGGAAACCAAATATATGCATAGGTGTTGTAAAAGGCCACAGAAACTCCATCTGGAGTTAGAATTTCAGGGTTAGATTACAGCAGGCTTTCAAAATATCCATAAAAAAGCTACAAAGAAAAAAAAAATTAAAACCCTTGAAAATGCCATTAGATTTTTGGGATAAAGTTAATTGCTCTTTCCAAAGAAGGATAAGCATAATCAGGCCTCATCTGTGGAAGTGACTGAGTATATTCTTCACTAAACAAAGGTTATAGCAAATGGCTGAAGCTTCTTATGACTTCTGAACAGTCAGACCAGTGTTTCTTTATAGTTCTACTGCAGCGTCTGAAAGGAACCATCCGCATCCATGTCATACTTTCTTAAGGAGTTTATACATGGCCTTTCTGCAACTGTACTTTTACCACAGTGTAAAACCTCCTGCTCTCCCCTCCCAAATCTGCAAGCATCTCTTCTACCATATATTGCCCCAGCCTGCTGCCTTCAACTAACTTATCTCATATTTGACTTCTGGGATAGAAGGGAATATTTCCTAAGCTTCTGAGATGCGACTGCCTCACCTTTGAGAGAATTTTTACATTCTAAAACTTAGTTTTATTAGGGGAACAAAATCCCAAGCTAAAGCTGTGATTAATTTTTTTTATTAGGAGAACCCAGAATGAGACAGACTGGAAATAAACAAATGTCACCACTGTCCTTGGGGAACTAGTCCTTTCTTTCATGCTTGCTCCCAGACCAGCAAGCTGGCCACCATTCCTTAGGTTGCAATGCACTTCTGTTGTGCCTCTGACCTCTGTTTTTCCACAGCCCTGGAAGACTTGCTAAATCTCTGCTCCTCATTCTTTCAGCAGTTTCCAGGAAGGCATGCTGCAGGATCCTGCCCTACTGTCTCACACCCCTGCCCTGCTGGCCACCCTGCTCTCCACGCTAGAAATTTCTCTCCCAAGCCAAGTGGTCTCTGTTATTCCCCCCCAAAAAAAACCAGTCATTTCTCTCCAGATCACTCTAGTATATAGCAGCCAGGAGAAGGTAAAAAACACAGTCTTTCTCCCTGGTCAGCCTTTTAAAGCAATGTTAACATGCATTAATGTACCCATGTATATAAAAGTTAGGTAGTTATAGAGGCTGCTAGGTTTAGCCAAGTCTTTTCACTACTCCAGGACCTTTTTCTTCCCCACCATGTTTCTTGTGTTTACCCACATAGGTAGCAAATGCTTCACAGCAGTGACTGCTTCTTGCTAGATCATTGCACAGACCCACATAGAGTGGATCACCACTCCTGGTGCCTTTATTACTGCGTGACAGTTGTAAGACTGCAGTAGAAAACACTTTCTTCAAAAGCAGGCCCTATTTCAGCTCAGTTTTGCTGTGTGCATCCAGTACGTCCAGTTCCAGTTACCACTCCAGAATCTTTCACACTGAATGGTGCTGCTGGAGCAGGGGTGCAGGGATTTAGGGATGAAGTACCCTCCCTCCTTCCCCACTTCTCTTGTTCCCTCCCTCCCACTCCTCCCTCTTTCTACCTTTCTCCCTATCTCACCCTACCTCAAAGAACTATTTGCATAGAGGAAGCTGGAGTATTAAAAAAAAGATAAAATTATCATCTATTTCACACACAATCATATGAAGATTTCTTTTCAGGCATATAATCCTGTATTTCCAGTCAATAACCATGCTTTTTGAAACACTTGGGATCTGCAGACCATAGAGGTGGTCGCATTATATAATCATGGTCAGGGTCATGAAGCCAGACTTAGAAGCATATTTATTGTAGGTTTTCAGTGATGTGTTTGGTGCAAGAGGAATCTTCAGTACAGAAAGGTGTCTACCAGTCCATACTGCTGGGGACCTGTTGTTCCAGACAGTTTTAGTCTATGCCCAACTTTTTTTTTTTTGCTATTGTTTCTTGGGGTTACTGCTTTCCTGTTGGTTAAACATTTTTATCATTTCCTCACAGCCTTGTGATGCTACATGAGTGATTCAGCTACTTTGTGAACTAGTTTAGAACTACTCCTTCCTTAGACACCTTCCCTTCCAAGCATAAAGACAAACAAATTAAGCAATCCACCAGACTTTATTCTTGTCCCTGATGCTATCCAGCTGGGCAAAAGTCAGTTTGAAACAAAATAATGCACTTCTTACCAAATAATGAATACCAGCATAATTTTGAAGAAGCGGATCTGGATCTCTGTCCCCAGACGTCTTTCATTCTCTGTGTAAATTCCTTGTCTCCCTTTCAGTAAGGAGGCAACTGGAAAGTATACAATTATGTTCATTAATACACTTGTATCCTGTTAGGTATAGGCACAAGGATCCAGAAGATAGATGTCTGTAAAGAGGGAACAAAGGAATGGATGCATTTGTCTCCAGCAGCAGTTCAGAAGCTGGAAGGACCATCATCAAAGAATCTCACACATAGCCTAACACTAAGGGAAAACAAATACATTGTCCTGGTTTCACTGGGGCAGCACCACAGGCCTGCCATGGTCTGCAGGCCATTAGCAGTTGGGAATCAGCCAGGGCAGCTGGCCTGAGCTGCCTCACAGGAGTATCCCATCCTATAAATGCCATGCTCAGTATAAAGGGGGAAATTTACTGAGGAGGAGACCTGCTCATGCTGACTAACTTCCTATTTATTGTGACTAACTTAGGTTTGCTGGGCTGAGTATAACTCTGTTTACTTTATACTGGCATTGATGTTTGTTAGTTTTGCTGTTTCACTAAACTCATTTTAATTTCAGTCCTTGAGTCTCCTCTCCTTTTCCTGGTTCTTCTCTACTGGAGATGGATCATTGGGTAATAGAGCAACTGCTACACTTTAGCCCTGGATATGGGCTAAAGGTAGACATACATCCATCATAGAGTTCTAAAATCTATAATTCGGTGATATAAAGTATATTATATAAAATCTATAATTGACTGATATCCCCCTAGCTGGTGTTTTTTTCTTCTCTCAATCCCACTCAGAGAATAGCATGGTCAACATACTTTTCTTTCACAACAAAAGGTAGTGCTTACAACTTCTATATAACGTGTGATATAATGATATTTATTATGTGATGTCTCAACTAAAAGAGAATATATTCTATTTTATTATGCATGTTGTATTTCATTGTGCAATTGATAGATCATAGACCTCTAAAACCTGAAGGTGTTATGTCAGCAAAAATGGACCGTTACGGCACATGCAGCTCAGCTGTCACAAGGAATACACGTACACACAAACACAACTATACTCAGTGTGTATTTTCCTATAAAGAGAATGCCTTTTTAAAGGAAAAAATATTCCTTTGAAAATTAGTATTACTAAGGGATGTAGGGTAGATGGGAGGAAGACTGAACCAAGAATACAAGGTCTTCTGGGTAATAAATGAAATGGAAACTTCAAGGTCCCATCTCAGTTGTGTGATATTCTCATTTGTTTCATAATGTCAGAAGGAGGAATGACAAAATTCTGACTGCATCTTATTATTTTAGCTCTAGGGCTGTCAAGAAGTTAAATGAACTATCAGATCTCACCAATATTATTCTTAAACCAGAATATATTACATTTAAAAATCCAGGTTGGTGCCAATAACTAATGGATTAAAGCATCCACCATGCACCGCCTAAAATGCTTCAAAGCAAGAGTAATTCAGTACCATAGAAACACCCCTGTATCTGTAGTAGAGGTTTATAACAGCATGGATTGAGTATGTCACCAGAGTGTGTCTCTAGGGTAAATTTCCCATCCAGATGGTATCTTAATTTCAATAGGCAATTCCTTTGCTGTATCTTTATGATTTAATGAGGAGCTATCCCACATCACTGAATACACAGACAAGACTTTTTGCCTCGTTGTTATGTTGCTAAATCACACATACTGATTCATGATGGCCATTAGGAACATACCTGCTGATACTGTCCTCCTAAACAGGACTGGGTTGACCACCAGCACTAGTAGGAGTGGGGCATAGGTCGTGATATAATGTGGGATTGCATGCTCCAAGCCATTTTCACAGCTGAGAAGAAATCATTAACAGCTTATGCTTTTTTCCCCCCACATTTGACAGTTCTCCCAATTTTGTGTTACCTTTAACTTAAAAAAATAAAACAAATTAAGCAAACAGATGCTAAACTTTCCATTCACAGACCTCCACCACCAATTCCTATGGGACACAAAGGTATTAGTATGCACTGTCTGTGCATTTTTCTTGACTTTAAGGGGACAAACATAAAGCTGAACCCTGAAGTGGCAGATCAGTGGCTTACAGCGGAAGCTCTATCACAGCCTCTATCACTCTGCAGCATGCCTGAGTGCCTGTATTGCTGGGCATATTTCTTTAGAGCCCTCTAAAACCCAGGTAGGTATTTCTAGGATCACACTTAAGTCACTGGGAAACACTCATCAAGGATCAAAAAAGCCCAACATTCAGATGTCTCTCTCTAAAGCTGACCAAAAGACATGCAAAAGGCCAGACCATGCTGTGAGTTCAGAGTCTCCCTTACCTGGAGAGAGAAGGGTAGTAAAGCAGGGCAATCCCCTCCACGCAGAGCATCACCGCAAGGCCCCACGTCATCATGTGGTACAGCACAATCGTACTGCGGGCACCAAACGGGACAGGCGTGACTCAAGGTGCTCAGCCTCACACTTCCCACATTGCAACACAAAAAGGACCCTCACTGAAACAGAGCTTTGCAGATTGTAAATTGTGCCCAACAGTATTGACGGGACATTAAACTGAGGGAAGCAGGTGGGCTTTCTTCGGAAAAAAGAGAGCCAAAGAGGTTGTTCAGGCTTGGACACAGAAGTCCTGTGTTCTACTACCCGAAGATGAAAGTTTTTCCCTTATGCTCAGATCTCCAGAAGGAACCCTTATACCCCTCATTTCTCCTGCAGAGAGCAAATTAGGGGATTAAAACTTAAGAAGACAGCCAAACAGTCAAATAAACCATCCTTCTGGAATTGGCAGAGTATTATGTTGATCTTTAGAGTCAAATACTGCTCCCATCATAGGGAGACTCAGACCTCTGTGTGTCAAAAATCTTTCATTGTTTAATCTGATATCAGAATCAGGCCCAAGGTTTTGTTGTGGAGTGGGGGAAGGAGGTAGGTCCCAGTTGTTTCAGACTAGAACTATGGGATTTTACCAAAATATGGTTTGTTCTCCACAGACGGAAGTGAACTAAAAAAAAAATCTTCATTTTGATAACATCCTCCAGATGAGACATGTCTCCAGGACCTGATCGTTCAGTATCATCTGTGTACAGAATCTCATAATTCCATGTTTAGCGGTGGCAACCAAGGGTCATTTTGTCCTCATAACAATCAATTTAGAAACACCTTGTATTTTTTGCCTAGCATTATATTACTGTATTTTCCAAAGTGTTTACATTCTTCTGTAACAGGCATTGCAGAAAAAATGTATAGGAAATACATACAGTTCTTCTTAAAAACTTTACAAATTATCAGAAGCTTAATAAAGAAAACACTGTGAAGTGAGTAAAATAGAAAATTGAGAAAAAAAAAAATCCCTGGAGAATGAACTATATTAAATTCAGTACTTCCCCCTTCCCACTTTTTTATTTTCAGGATAGCCCTTTTTTTTTTTTTTTTTTCCTTTTTCTGCAAGAATCAATTTCAGATATGGAGTAGAGGCAAAATTATTATCTCGCTTCAATAAAGTTTATACAGCCTGATCTGCTCCCTGTTTTTCCAAAGGTTAAATGAATTCCAATTGGGCAAAACCAATTCAATATCTGAGCATTGCCCTGGCAATTTAAGCACTTAGCACATCATTCATCCACATCATTACCTGGTAACCCTGTGAACATCAGATGTTTGTACAAGCTTCACATACACTTAAACAGCTGCAGAGAAACATGGACATGCAATGATGGAGGGAAAATAACAAACTCAGAGCTCTAACTCTGGTACCTCAGTCCAGCTGATCTTCTAACCACCAAGTAAGAATCAACAGCGTAGCAAAACAGCCACCAGAAGCCAGCACTATATAATAGCTGGATCCACATCTGCAGGAGAAAAAATGGCAAACATCACAGGTGCTTCTCAAGTACCACTGGGGGCAAGTAAGGGACTCATAGCTTCAGCTTAGTGACCTGTTCTTTAGATATGTGCCTTTTCCAGCTATGATTATGAAGTATGAAAACTTTCCCAAAATCACAGGAAAAGATTTGCTGTAGCAAATGAGTCAAGTCATAGGTAAATTGAACAGCATTTGCTTTCACAGCTTATTCTGTTGTTTAGAAAACTTGTTATTTAACTCTCCAGTCCTAACACTCAGTATCATGACTGAAGTCCAAAGAATTTTATAGTAAGGTTGTTTTAATTTAGGTTAAAATTTCAGTAGTTCTTCAGTAGCTAACATGAAAATATAACTGAGGTCACAGTGTGCTTATCCATTGTGGGTTCTGCATGTGACAGGCATTTTCTCCATGCGCAAGAACATGATTCAGGGAATGGTTATTAACCAAAACATGTAATTTACAAAAATATCACTCACCTCCTGGAAAACTTATCCATACTAAACTCCCACACCGATTTCTTCAATAAAAATACAAAGGAAATAAGTTCAAGTCAAGTTAAATTCCATAGCGTTCATGAGCTGACTTTATACATTTTTCCCATGAGCCTATATAAGTGACCTTTCTTTGCTGCTGTTTATAAATTCCAAATTTCTTCCCCATAGGAGCTGGCTATTTGTAATAAATAGTCTGGAACTATTTTAATGTTCAGATTACCTTGTCTCCAAGTCCTCTTTCAGTTTTTATCTGAATATCCTTTATCATGGCTCCATAATAGCATCATTTTACAGCTGGAAACCGACATACTTGTTACTGAGCCAAACATCAGTGAATAGAGTTCTACCACTCCTCTCTCCAAAAGGCAAATCAAGCTGGGAAATACTTCCTTTCACCACGGGTGTAGACTCTACCTCTAGTCATTTGCAGCACAATTTATTCAGTATTTAATTCAAACACCATGACATTTTCCTAGTGCACAGGAGCCAGAAAATAAAATTCCATTCTTCCATCTAATGCACTTCACCAATAGCACTCAGCATGCAACCTCATCTGCACTGTTTAAACATATGCTGCGGTTGAAAAATGCACAACTTAACTATACATACACACACAGAGAGACACAAAAATAAACTCCAGGGTCTTTCCACCCAGAAAATCCAACACAGACAAGACTGTCTCCAAAAATAAATCAGATGCACTTAAAGCCAAAATCTTCATATGTTATCTCACTTTTTAGCAAAACGACATGTCTTGTTGCAGTGCTTGAGAGCTTACACCTCTGCGAACCCAAGGGTGTTATTCAAAGGAGATTCCCAAAGGCCTCGCTGTTTGGGCTTTGTATTGGTTTGTGGTCAAGTGAAACCAAACAATAGTACAAGAAGGAAAATAAAATAGAATCAGAAACGTTTTATTAACTCACACAAGAATACATTAGGGGAAGTGAGTGGAAGGAGGGTTACTTTTCATTGCAGTATAATTAAATCTAATTTTAGCAAGTGACTCAAATTACAGCACTTTGCTGGAGCCCAAGAAAGCGAAAATAAAAATTATGGTAGATCGTTTTGCTGCTCATCATCTAACCTGAGATCCAAATGAAAAACAGGAGGCATACAGGATCTTTGTCACTGTTTAAAAACACTGTTTTCTGTGCTAAGAGTCAGAAAATGAAATTTAAGACATAGGGAAACATAGATTTTGAATAGATCATTCTTGCTACAACATTTTGAAGTTGCTGCTTCTCTCTTCCTCAAATTAAAAAAAAAAAAAAATCAACATTTGCATCTAATAATCAGAACTTAAACATATATGATGGAATTGAGAATCGATAGATGCCTGCAACTGATATTTGCTGCTATGGCTCAACACTCTGATGTCTAAAATTGTTGTCATATAGACATATAGGGTACAGAGAGTTCAATCTGGCACATACTGTTTCATTTTAAAATTTTGTGAGATGAATAATTTTGTTTACATGCAGCATATCCTCTTCTATATAGTAAACTTTTAATTGTAAAGCTAATACTGTTATTGTTCATGCATTAATTCATTGGGTCCCCTACACTCCTATTGAATTTGGGTAAAGTGATGATCTATTTGTCATTTTCCTCTTTTGGTAAAAAATAAGTCCTTTTTTCCTCTATGGTAAACTCAAATTATATATTTCCATACTGTGAATGTAATATTTTCATATTATAATATTCAATATTTGTAGTATTTCAAACTGAGTTTTAATCTGTATTTTTAAAATGCATTTACATTTTCTTGTTCTTGCACTTTAATCCAGAAGATACTTAATTTGACTTGGCCAGATGTGGTCATTGTATGCCCGTATTAGCAGCAACCTGAGCTGTAATGCTACATGGCAGGGACAGACCTTCTGCTAGCAGCTTTACACTTTTGGATATGTTTATCCTGCAGCCCCTCTGTGCCTCAAACACACACTGTCATGCTGAAAAAGCTAATCTGAGCTAGCTGAGTTGCTGGTTTCTGTCAGTCCCCACTGACAGAATTTCTGCTGGAGGAAGTGGGCGGATACCCTTGTGCTATGGGTGCGATGGAGCCGCCGCAGCACCGGCAATGCTGTGCCAACACAGCCCAAGCTGGTGATTTCACAGCCCACTCACAACCCTTATGCCTCCACATCAGGCTTGGGACCAGCCTGGCCGGCACTGCCCTGTGTCCCCACGTGCACCGTGTGGCACCTAGCACCCTGCCCGCCCTCCTCCGGGCTTTCAGGAGGCATGAACACACTCGCAGGGGTGTGGCAGAGGCTGAAACCACCGTGTCCAGCCTGTGACTCAGAGCCGAATTGCCTTTGGGATACAGCGGTTTGCCTTCCAGGCCCCCGCGGCGGGACTGACGGTCGGGAGCAGGAGGAAGGGGAGGCGACCTCTGCACCTACCGCGCTCCCTACGCAGAAAGCAGAAGGCCACACATCCGTCCCGTTCACCACAGAAATGTTAGCCACGAAGCCCGGGAAGCCGAGCCATACGCTTGACCTGAAGATTATACCTAAAGGAAAAAAAAAAAGTATTCATGCCTTGAATCTGCTGGCATGATTTGAGTCACATGCTTCTCCCTGGCCACGTATTTCCCATCGCAGCCCAGATTTTGTGCGTCCACAGGAAGGCCCCGGCTGCAGGGGAGCGGAGCAGCAACAACTGCGCTATTTAAATGTCACCAAAGTAGCCCCAGGAGCCTGAAGTGCCTGGGACCTGAAATGTGATGCAGATTAAAATCTCACTTATTTACAGACACAGTCACACACTTCCCCAGAATAAACTGGGCAGCATTTAACATATTGGAATAAAACAGTAACTAACTATTTAAAATTTTATTGGCATACATTCAGATCATAGAACACCAGGTCGAAAGGGACCTGTGCTAATGTTTATTTATAATCCCTCATTGCAGGAAAAAGAAGTAATTTCCCACTTTTTGCAGTCTTCATTTTTGCAAGCAGTTCTTATCCTCTCTGTCACAGGACTGCACAAAGCATAGCTTTGCAATTAGGTAGGAACAATATCTGTGTTCTTAAATGAGCTTTCAGTTTGTTAGTGATATTTTCTGGTCTTGCTTGAAACAGGTATTAAAGCACCAACATATAGCAGAACAAAACCACCAGGTTTCCCACCAAAGGAGAACAGTTTGCAACCCACTGAAGTGAGTCTTATTCAAAGACAGTGACGCATGAATAGTTTGAGTTTGACAGTGAAAGAGAAAGGGAGAAAAATTACTTTATCTGTTGCTGGCCTCATCTGACTGAAAGGACCTTTTGCAGGTAAATGCACACACTCTTTTTCCATGTCTCTTTCTTTATTCCCCTCCCATCTTTTGTTTTAGTATTGATACTTCTTATGTACCATAAGAGAACCTGGCTAGGTATGAAAGGGGAAAAGATCTGAAATCCCACCCTCTCCCCAGGCAGTGAGAGAGGTGTACAAAGCAGCACTACTTCTGTTACCGAACGTGAGGGAAAAAATATTTCTGCGGAAACAAACTCATCCTGTATTTTCATAGCATGTGTCACAGTAATTTATACATAATTTGGCAGCAAATGCCAAAAACTGACAGGACACATTTAGACACATTAGTTTCATTTTGACTCATGAGTTTTGTTCTATTCTTTTTTGGTTTATTCCTTCAGCCTATCAGCCAGGGGTTGGGCAGCAGGCTGTCCTTGATAAGGGAACCGTACTCTCAATTCAAAAGCCTGTGTCCAGCATGATCTGTGTACAGCTGCAATTCAAACTCATTTGCTGTCGATGTGATGTGCCCAGAGAAGTGGCTGTCACATGAACAAGATGGCAAATTTGGTCTGAGAGGATTTAAAGACATACAGACATTTTCAAAGGTAGTACTAAGGACTGTCTAAGTGCTCGATGTCAGCTTTAGTTTAACAAGTGCTGCCTTGCCTCCACTTCTGTCCTACTCTGAGAACCAGACACTGTTGTGGATTTTAATTTGTTATAAAGCAGAGATTTTGGTGTAGATTTGCCAAGAGCTTTTACTTTTAAAATGTAACTATAAAACAACACCATTCTCCCCCAAAGGCCCATAATTTTCAAATCTCAATTAATCCATATCTTCCTGTGAATCTACAGCATATTTCCCTCAGAAATCTCTTTTGTCCACTCACAGTTTCATTTGGCTATGGTACCTCAGAGCAACAAGAGCCTGCTACAGTGAGGGTGAGGTACATCAAGCTGGCACTTACCTAAGCCACCAAGAATGTCACAAATGGAGATCAGGAGAAGGATGGTGGAAGAGGAGGAGGTTTTGGGCGTCTTCCGTGGGCTCTGTCCCTTCTTTGGCAAGAGCTGCAAGATGGTCAGTAGCAGACTGATTGAGGCACTGCCAATGCAAACTCCACAGAAGACTTTAGGCTGGAAGTTCATCACTAGCTGTGTAGCTGCATCCCGGTTTGGGCAGCAATAGGTTTCTAACCTGGGAGAAGCCATGAAGTGTCCAGCTGGTGTAGGGGGCCCACGAGCAGAAGAAAATACTGTTGCTTCTCCCAGGCAGCAGTCACTTTTACTTCACCCTCCCCATTAGTCCTCAGTGGTGAGAATCACGCGATTGATGGATCATGTGCTGCTGCTGCTGCTGCTAGAAGTAAATCCCCTAGAGCTGCCTTTCTCAGCCTCTCCTACCAAGGAGATCAGATCTGAACAAGAAAACACAGTGTAATCTGAAACATGCCCCATGCTTGCTCAGAGCCATTGGCAACAGTTCACTCACATATTTCTGCTTGCACAGTGTGTGATACAGGAAGGCTTCAACTCATCAGCGCATTGAAGATGGTTTAAAACAAATAAGGATGCAGATACCAAAGGAGAAGCATTGCATTTTAATTGTGTTTCTCTTTAGCCCCATCCCACACAGCACCCTTTAATTACTGCAAATTTTTGAAAAAGATGAGTCCAGACACAAGTAGTTACAGCCTTTACAGGGAGGAGCAGGGCTATAAATCCACACCCTAACCCAAATCTCAATTTTAGTGACCCAACCCACCCATTTCCGTAATTAAAATGAGAAACATGGTATCTTATCATTGTAGAAAGAGATTACATTTAGGAAAACAATATTAACCTCATCTTATTTAAACTGCAAGCACAAAAAGTTTTCTCTTCAGTCTGTACTGTCTGTGTTGCATCAGCTTCACATGGAAAATTCCAGGACTTCTGACTTCTCATGAATATTGGGATTTTTTTTTAATTTGGCAAGGGTTTAATATGAAAACAGGAATTTAGCCTGTAATATTTGTTTTTACTTTATAAGATAAAGATATTATGGAGGGCTATTCAGCTCTTCCCAAAATAAATGGACACAGTGAGCCAAGTAGGCTCCAGTGACTGTAATGGAAATGTAGGCACACATGTCATCAAAGAGTCCAAAATCCAGGCAGCTGAGTTTGAAGCTGAATTTTTTTGCTGGATGTTTTTGCTGCTTTCCAGCATAAAGAGATCTTCCTGCTCTATGGATGAGGACAGGTGAGTGTCCTGGATGTTGCAGTCCTGTATTTTGTTACTACAGTGTATGCAAAAATATACTTGGGACAGCAAGGCTGTGAATCAGATTGCCCTGCTCCAGAAATACAAACTTTTGTTGAGGTAAAGGAGAATACCTATGTTCTGTGATCAGTACAAGGTTCTGTTGTTAGTACAGTGTTGGGACTCCTCAGACTTTATTTCACTTCCACTCGAGCAGCAGTGCACAGAGTTGCCACCTCGCAGTCAAGATACTACATTGCAATCTACCTGGCTACAGAAGAACAAAGACTACAGTGTTTCCAAAAAAACCCAGGTTATTATTAAAGACAAAGCCATCATACATCACATATGTAATGCAAATATGTACAAATTAAAATACATTATCTTTGCTCTTATTTGAAGGTAAATTTATACTGTCTGGCTTATACTTAGAATAGCACAACTGTTCAATTATTAGACAGAAAGAGAAACTGATGAATAGGAGCCTTTCATTTCCACTATCAGTTCCTAAATGTTTCCCTTCACTACTTCTGTTGCCATTTTCCTTCCTTCAAAAATATGAAAAGCATGTCAAGTTCTTATCCTGACCATGTGTTCTGCCTTACAGATAGGAATGCTTTGTGTGATTTTCTTTTTCTGTTTATCATTTGTTTCCATTGATTCTGGCAGTGATCTTCTAGTTTGGGCATGTGGATTTACCATTTCAGTATTTTGCCTTCTTGCTCCCTTTCGTTCAGACACTTTGAAATTACTTTCATGTAGTTGTAGTCTTATACTCTGGAGATCAATTTATCTTTCTCTCCTTTTGCCTTCACAGTTTTGCCAGCTGTGCACCCTATTTTTACTGCTTTACTTCTTTGAGTGGAGGACTGCTTTTTAACCTCTTCTTCTGGGTCCCTTCCCTCCTGCTCTCTCAGGATTTGATTACACAGTTTCTTAACAGAGAGAGCAAAGTGATTTTTACTGGAAGCAAAGCATATGACCTGTAGCATACCTAATACAAAAATAAAATGAAGTGACTCATGAGTGAATGGATACCTGCCATAATACAAGTAGATGTGCCTTTATATGTGGACACCTGAGGCTGAACAGCAGATGGATCTGACAAACTAATGAGCCACCCAATGTCTCAGCCGGTAACATCTAGCCAGTCTCTGGCCTTCATTCCTGGGCTTGAAGTATAAAGAGTCAGAACAGTCAAGGAAATTCAAAGCTGGTTTGGCAGCCTTACACCTGAGATTAATTTGTCTTCTCATGATTATGAAAATAAGAGGATAAAAGCTTGGGACAAAGGCAAAGGAAGTAGAAAGGTAATGAAAGAAAGTAAGAAAAAAGTTATTTTGCCTTGTTAGGGAACATTATTTAGTATTCAATAAAACTTAGATTATTCTACAAGTCTCAATTCTCTTCCCTCTGAAATTATTGATACAGTTCCCGCTGCCACCAGTGTAACAAACAGACCCACAAATACGACACGTCTCATTTCTGCATCAAGGCAGGACATCAATTAAGCAAACAATTTGGAGACAACCATTAGCACACATACAAGAAACGTTAAAAAAACCCTGGCACTACGAATACCAATCAATCAAATTCACAGTGTAAGTACGACATCGCACAACACTGACAATTCCAGCTCTGGTTCTGAACATTGGCAAAACTGTGCTCAAGAATGAAAAAAATGCTGTGCTCCTTGCAAGGAGAACAGGCATGTACTCCATATGCACAGCTTTTAGAAATATCTACTCACTCTCTCCTTGGACCCAAGGACGTACAGTCCATCATTAAGATGAAACACTGGCTTTCCTGCTTCCAAGGGAAAGCAGCAGGTTGATAAAAGTATGACAGGCATGCATTTCTGCTGTTAAGGAGTGTGCTGTAACTTAGGTTTGAGTGTGCAGTTACAGCTGCTTTAATCACTGTTCTAATTAAATCTGGGACTACAGCTCTGCTTTACAAAGGAGAAGGAAATTTATGGAGAGACAGAAGACAGAAGCCTGGACAGGCTGGAGAGCTGGACGGA